CTCAGCACTGCAGTAACACTGACGTGGTGGTGGTGTGTTAGTGTGTGTTGTGCTGGTGTGAGTGGATCAGACACAGCAGTGCTGCTGGAGTTTTTAAACACTGTGTCCACTCACTGTCCACTCTATTAGACACTCCTACCTTGTCGGTCCACCTTGTAGATGTAAAGTCAGAGACGATAGCTCATCTGCTGCTGCACGGTTTGTGTCGGTCATCCTCTAGTCCTTCATCAGTGGTCACAGGACGCTGCCCACAGGACGCTGCTGGCTGGATATTTTTGGTTGGTGGACTATTCTCAGTCCAGCAGTGACACTGAGGTGTTTAAAAACTCCAGCAGCACTGCTGTGTCTGATCCACTCAGACCAGCACAACACACACTAACACACCACCACGTCAGTGTTACTGCAGTGCTGAGAATGATCCACCACCCAAATAGTACCTGCTCTGTGAGGGTCCATGGGGGTCCTGACCACTGAAGAACAGGGTAAAAGGGGGCCAACAAAGTATCAGAGAAACAGATGGACTACAGTCTGTAACTGTAGAACTACAAAGTGCACCTATAGAGTAAGTGGAGCTGATAAAATGGACAATGAGCATAGAAACAAGGAGGTGGTCAGAATGTTATGCCTGGTCGGTGTATTTCCATTAAATCAAATGTTGCAGAGTCAGTATATTTGGACTGTAATATAAAATGCTTTTTTTTTTTGAGGCGACACAAAAACTAGAAAACACCAAAAACGCTGAATATGAAGTGTCTGAGATGATGTAGTTTCGGGTTTACAGGTCTCTCCCCATTCAAAGACACAGGAAGCAGGTCTTATATGACTGGAAATAACTGCCCTGGGGCGTTGCCACGATGGCCGTTGAGTGGACAGGTTTTCCTACAAGGGCTTTATTATTGTCCACAGTTTTACGGTGTTCAAGTCAACAAGCGAAAGCTCACCAAGCTAAAGCCAGCTTAGCAAGCATAACCAAAAGCTAGCAAGCTAGCTCATCTGCCTGCCTGTTGTCTGACTGTTTGTTTGTTCATCCATCTGTCCATTTTCTTAAACAAGCCATGTCAGGGCAACCCCCCTCACACGGTTTTTGGGTGACCCCCACAGGCCAGTCTAGGGCCAATCCATTTAGTCTGTACACTTGTCCAAATGGACATGTGTATAGATCAGGGGTCGCAACCCAAATGTTAAGCAGAGCCATTTTGTCCTTTCAACAAAAATCAAACCACCTTGAGAGCCACAATATTTAATGTCCATTTTACCATCTTGGCTGTAAATATGTCTCTCTATGCCCTGATATACTAGTATAGAATAAATAAATATAAATGAAACCACAGACTTACTCTGCTCTGCTTTACGCTTTAGCTCAGCTATAGTCGCTTTTCTCGCATCTCCAGCAGGAAACTTCACCAAGTAGATCAGTTTCTTGTAAAATGCCTCTCAACGTTCGACCTTTTACGAGGCTGAAGTTGCTTCTCATTCACCAGCTTCTTGTTGTTTTACTGTTCCACCTTAAATGGTGCCTGAGTTGCCAGAATGCAACTGCAACACCATTTAAGGTGGAACGGAAAAATTCGAACGAGAAACTTCAGCTTCGCGACTTTTTAGTGTTTGATGGTTTCTGGTTGCAGATTAAATGTATCAGGAAACCAGCTGGAGTGATTATAAATGTAATTCAGTCCAATCGTCTCCAAATTATCGATGTTCGTCTTAAATCTCTCTCTTTGCCGTTTCGTTAGCTACTAGCTAGGCGAGACTGTTTGTTGCTATGGTGACCAGAAGTCTGCACACTAACCTTCAGGGTTAAAGGGTGAATTAGCAGTTCTACATTAGTTTAAGACCATTTATTGTTAAACTGTGTTGAACGATCAGCAGAGCTTTATTTTACTGTAAAGGTGGATTATTTTATTTTTACCTACAAATCTGATTCTGCTGTGGAGCCACAACAGGGCAGTAAAAGAGCCGCGTGTGGCTCCGAAGCCGCGTGTTGCCGACCCCTGATACAGACTAAATTCAGGCTTCAAGATGGATGCTACTACTGTTTTTAGCTATACTAACATTATATAGTCCATTTCATAGATCACAGAATGTCACACAGTGTCAGAAACCTTGAAAAGCTCAGAATCTTCACCGTCAGCTCTAAAATCAACATCACCTACACTGTTAAACATGTACAAAACCCAACAACTTATACAAGCTAATCTTTTTTCACAGAATATAAACACTAAAACTGCTCTAACTTCCTCACAGAGGAAAGGACAGGACTGCCTGTGTCCACACGTGTGTACAATAAGCACTTTAACTAACGCAGTACAGTAATGACTTACTCACACAGTCTGATTGGCTAAATTACTGTAAATGGTGCTATTAGTGCTATTAGCCTAACGTCCATGAGGGAAAGTAGTCTGATGATTCAACATGAGTGCGATTTTCAGCAAAAAGTCTCCCCTTTAACCCAACTGTAGACAGTCAGCCAAGACATGTTTGGCGTCTGAAGTTTGCTTCTTTAGTTTAAGCGCTGGAGCTACGAGGCTAATGCAGCTAAAAAGTAATGCACCACAAATTAGCATCATGCTAACTGGATGCCTAAATCATCACATATTTGCCTCAAACCGCGTGGAGCTGTTAAGTAATCTCAGCTAGACCTGCTTATGTGGTCTCTGACATCATATGATTTACTGTTATTTATAAAAAATAGACCTTTTTGTAAACAATAAACAAGTCTGTTTGTGATTACATGAAGCGCCAGGAAACTTCGATCCATGTTTCTTCCTAAGTAGGTTGTAGGCAAATAATATCCATACACATGTACAAAGTATGCTATATGAAGATGCCCTACTGGAAGGATTGATCGGATATGTCTCGGTATCGGCCGATTTTCAGCCCAAATATGTGATCGGCCCATATTACTCCAACTTAGCCGATCCTGAGAGCTGATTAGTGACATAAAACCTGATTCTGAGCTGCCAGAATGTAACTGCTGCAAAATTTAAGGTGGAACTGGAAAATGGCGAACGAGAAGCTGCCGATTGGAAGCCGACTTCAGCCTCGTCACATCTATTTCACCAGTCACTCTTCAGGAAATTCACTTTTCTAGTTTAGCCTTGCAGTTTTCTTCAAATATCTAAAGATAATTAGACTATCTTTCCTTTTCAGTGTCTCCATCTCTCTCTCCATAAAAACAGCATCATGGCCTTTACTTTCCCCCACAAACCCTCCCTGCGCTGAATCACAGATGATTCACAGAGAACTGCTTTTGGTTTTTGCCCTGCTGTGTTCGTGACTGGCCAAAAAAATCAGCAGTCGGTCCAGGAGATACGCTCTGTGACAGGGCTAAAGGGGTGAAACACTCCGGGTTCAATGTCCGTCCTCATTAGCTGAGTTAGCAGGCCAGAGGGCCTGTTCGCTCGCAGACTCTCTCACTGCTCGTCTCGCATCAAACCCCCTCTCAGCCTACGCTGAATACACTCCCTGAAACTTTACACTGCCTAAAACAGCCCGTGGTACTGAACCTCACGCCACCAAGTCCTTCCAGTAAACCACTAAACTTGCTAATGCTGAATAGCTAAAAACAGAACCAGTGGTCACTACAATAAGCTCGCAATTTTGTCCATGTTCATAGACAACAGTGTGACATACAGGGTCAGAAACTACATAATCCAGCCTGTTAGAGATACTGAACAACTCCACATGGTCTGAGGCAAATATGCGATGATTCAGGCATGCAGTTAGCATCATGCTAATGGGTCTGGTATGTAAAATCCAGAGAAAAACATCTCTAAATAAAGAGCTTAAGAGCACCAGCTACCCAACAGCTTTACGCTAAGCCTTGCTACTTAAATCAAGGAGACAATTTCAAATGACTTGGGTGTTAAACATTAAATCAAATGTGAAACGTTTCCCCTTCTAACTCCAAATGTAGTCGATAAGCAAAGACGTGTTCGTTGTCTGAAGTTTGCTTCTTTAGTTTTAGCACTGGAGCTATGAGGCTAACGCAGCTAACAAGTAATGAAAGTTAATACCTCACTGATTAGCACTGCGCTAACTGCAGGCCTAGATCATCGCACACTCGTCTCAAACTGTGTGGAGGTGTTCAGTAATCATTAATAGGCTTGATTATGTGGTGTCTGACGCTGTATGACACACTGTTACCTATAAAGGTGGACTAAAGTACAGATAAAATTCAGGTTTTAAAGGGGAACTCCACCAATTTCTCAAAAATCCGACATAATTGAATAGTTAAGACGTAAACAGAGTCGTTCAGAGTGGTTTAATGTTCTATAGAAGCTTACCGAGTCAGAATGGTTCACAGTGGTGGTGATAGGAACTAGACGTCCACCTCTAATAGCTCCCTCACAGAAAGGTATTACATGAAATGGTTATAAATACACTACCTGATGTCTTGTTTTAGGATAGTTTTGTGATGAAGTTTTGGTTTAAAATGAGGTTGAATGCAGTTATGTAATGCATTCATGGTGGAGGGATACTTGCAAGGTGTTTTGAGGAAAAATAGTACCCGAAGAAAACTTATTATTTCAGATCTCTGACTATTTTACCATCATCATTCCATATAAACTCAGAAGACTCGTGTCGGTTCACTGGTGGTTTTGGATAGTAAATAAAATGGCTATATTTGAGTTGTAGTCATGGCGACCCCTGGTTCCTATCACCACCACTGTAAAGACATCTGAACCATTTCACACCAAACCACTCTGAATCACTCTGTTTACATCTCAAGGACTGAGGACTGAATTATTCAGAAATTTTGAAAAAATGGTGGAATTCCCCTTTTAGATGTGGATGAATTTTTGGCGAAATTTGGCCAAACTATCAATTTTCTGAAGCAGCACAATTTGTGTCATAAGTTCAGTGCAAACCACTGACCATCACGCCTGACCTTACATGACCGCAGACGAAGGCCCTCGTTATCCATTATAAATACACTCAGTTATGAATGAATGAATGGATGAACGAATGAACGAACAGGAGAAAAGCTGAATCCATACCTCCCCTCTTCAGGGCCAGGAGAACAGATGACAGCGATGGTCGCTGACCTCGATACCGAAAGCCGATAGCGTCCAAAGCGCCTCAGGCTGGAGTCCAGACCTGCTGCAGGAGAGGAACAGAGCAAGAACACCAAAGCGCAGTCCACTGTGTTTAACCCTCTACACTGCAGGCCTGGGAACTACTGTGGGTGTAAACATGCATTAATGCACTGCAGGTCATAATTCAACTGCATATAATGCTTTTATCTCACTAATCATTCATTGATAACTATAATATTCAATACAAAAGTGTGACAATAGTTCACATTTACGCATTCAGGATATTTTTAAAAATGATTCTGAATCATATTTCAGTGCGTATTTTATGATGCACTGAATAATTTCCTACAGAATTGACACTGAATTAAACAGTCGTCAGAGTCAGAGATGTACACTGTAGTAAGGGCTTTAAATTAGTCAGTAACAACTATGAATTCTTCAGTATCTACTACAAATTATTCAGTATCTACTATGAATTCTTCAGTATCTACTACAAATTATTCAGTAATTACTATAAATTCTTCAGTATCTACTACAAATTATGCAGTAATTACTATAAATTCTTCAGTATCTACTACAAAGTATTGAGTAATTACTAAGAGTTATTCAGGATCTACTACAAATTATTCAGTATCTACTACGAATAATTCAGTATCTACTACAAATTGTTCAGTAATTACTATGAATTATTCAGTATATACTACAAATTATTCAGTAATTACTATAAATTCTTCAGCATCTACTACAAATTACTGAGTAATTACAATGAATTAATCAGCACCTACTACAAACTATTCAGTAATTACTATGAATTTTTCAGTATATACTACAAATTATTCTGTATTTACTATGTACTGTTCAGAATTTACTACAAATCATTTAGTGATCACAATGAATTCTTCAGTAACTACTATGAATTATTAAATGTCTACTATCAATGTTCAGTAACCATGGTGAATTTTTCAATATCTGCTATGAATTATTCATTATATCATTCAAATGATTCAGTAACTACTATGAATGTTTGGTACATAATTTGAATGATTAACTATCTACTATAATTTATTCAGTAAGCACTATGAATGATTTAGCAGCTACTCTGAAACTGGTGTTCCGTAGTCATGAGGGTGAAGGTATTACAGTGTCCACAGACGTCCTGAGATAAAACAGCTTTACAGAAGGGGAAATGACTCTGAGCTGCTCTGTGTGGAGCAGAACCGTCTCAGAGCCGAACCGGTGTGAAGGAATAAAGGAGGCGCAGCAGCCTGTTCAGTGTGTCCAGCGCTGAGGCCGTGAACTCAGACAGTGCAGTGGACAGCGGGCTGTCAGAGCCGGGCTGGTCACCAGGATGTTCTATTGTGTTCCACTCTATGAGCCACTCAGTTAAACACCACCTTCATTCACTCTCAGGCACGGCGCACAGTAACAGTGACGCGCTCTTCAGCGCCTCACTGAAACAAGCCTTATACAAACAAGATCATAACTCAGGTTTACTGCATCCCCTTCACCTTCCACACGGCAGCCTGGTCCCAACTCAGACTGACATAACGTATACGAGACCTGCGGCCCAAAGGACCTTATTATTATTCATACTGTCAGTGCTGTTCTTTTCAGTAAAGACAACAACAATAAAGGTGATAATAACAATAATAGTATCAGTAATACTACATCTACAGCTAATATAAATAAATAAGTAAATAAATAAATAAACATTTGACCCATAATGTTATCAATCTCTTTAACAAAGTCTAAGTTGTTATTATTATTATTCTTATTCTTCTTCTTATTATTATTATTACCACAAGTAGTAGACGTGGTGGCTCTATTTGAGGTAGTAGGAACACACTAACTAACTAGCTAAATTAATAAATAAATAAATAAATAAATAAATAGACCCATAATGTTAATATCATTATCATGTTATTAAAGTTATTATCGTTATTATTATAGTAGTAGTAGTAGTAGTAGAAGCGGTGGTGCTATTTGAGGTAGTAGGAACAAAATAAATAAGTAAACAACAACAACAACAATAAGAATAATTATTTGGTCAATAATGTTAAGTCTTTTACAATACGTACACTTAACCAAAGTTATTATTATTATTATTATTATTATTATTATCATCTATTACAAGTAGTAATAGAAGTGGTGGTTCTATTTGAGGTAGTATGAACATAATAAATAAATAAATAAATACATAAATAAATAGACCTATAATCTAAGTTGTTGTTGTTATTATTAGTAGTAGTAGTAGTGCTTCTATTTAAGGTAGTAGGAACAAAATCAATAAGTAAACAACAACGAGAACGACAACAACAACAAAATTAATAATAATAATAGTAATTTGATCAATAATGTAAAGCCTTTTGCAATAGGTACACTTAACCAAAGTCTACGTTATTGTTGTTATTATTAGTAGTAGAAGTGGTGGTGCTATTTGAAGTAGGAACAACAAAAGTAATGATGATAATAATAGTTGCAGTGCTATCACTGCAACCAATAATATTATTATTAATAATAATAATAATAATAATAATAAATGTACCAGTGTTTTACCATACACTTTTACTTTAGCATTTTGAGCACTGCTAGGTTTGAAATGTGCTATGCAAACACAAAATAATAAATAATACTATATACTTTTACTATGAACAACATTAACAATAATAATAATAATAATAATAATGTCACCAGAGTCGTTTACAGCGACACGCTGAGTATTTCTATTACAGAATATGCAAATAAAGACATTACAGTGGAAAACAATTATTATTATCATCACCATGTTCATCATTACTGTTATTATTAGTAACAACAACAATAACAACAATAATCATCTAAACATCATCTATCATATCCTTCTGGGTCGCGGTGGGGTGCTGGAGCCTGTCCCAGCTGTCATTGGGCAGAAGGCAGAATACACCCTGGACAGGTCACCAGTCCATCGCAGGGCAACAACAACAACAAAAATAATAATAATAATAATAATAATATTAATAATAATACACTGTAAAAAAGTGGAATGGCAGAAGTTGAAGTGTTCTGAGTTTGAATTACTGTACAATGTTACTTTGGTTCATAACTAAATTCTCTTTTGCACTGTTTCATGTAAATTATTTATCAGATGCATTAATTGATCACTTGTTTCCAGGTGGAGTCATTTTTAGGTGGGACTGAAAGTATGTTATGACATTTTTGACTAATACTAATATTAATACTACTACTAATAATAATAGATGTCTGTAGGCCAGTCCTGCACCTGCCCAGCTCACTGTAGAGCTTCTCCTGCTCTGCCCTGACTGAGCTGACAAGTTCGCTGCTACTGAAGCCCCTCAGCAGGTTATAATGAGGGTCTTACAGGAGGAGAGCCTTTAAGCTGTGCTGTAGATCAGACCCACCACTGACCCCCATACACAAAAGCACTGAAAGGCTTCGGCCAGCGGCTTCAGGCTTCCCGTTCGCCAGCGCCTCCTTCGAATCCTCCCGTTCCACCTTAAATGGTGCAGCATTTCCATTCTGGCGCCTCACCATTTAAGGTGGAACGGGATATTTCGAACAAGAAGCTGACTTGAGCTCCTCAGTGATGTGAAGCACGACGCTCGGTTACTCACGCTTCTCCGGCTCGAGAGCAGATCCCGGGATCCAGTCCGCGCGCGCCAGGCGAATGATTATTGATGACTGATCAGGAAATGTTTCTAATGATCGGCTTAGCATGAAAGGAGGAGGACAGAAGGAGCTTCGAGCTCTCACAGCTTTATGACCACACACACACACACACACACACACACAAACACACACACACACGGCTCGTTTCATTGGTGAAGAAGTGGGCGGTCCTTCAGTTCCTCGCGCTCTGATTGGACAGCCGCGGTTTGACAGGGAAGATAAACGACGTTGGTGGTTAAAGTGATAGTTCATGTGATATTACTCACACTGGCCACTTTATTGGAAACACCTCTCTTGTAGCTGTAGCTATATATATATATATATATATATGTAGTTTCTATATGTTTCCATTAATAGACTGAAATTTATGTCCCATTACCTTTTTTGCAAGCAATAAAGTGCCTGTTGTTTTTTGTATTTCTGTAAAAAGTGAAGGGATCTGTTCTTTAACTTAATAAAATTATTAAAATTAGTATTTAAATGATCACAAAAACAGATAAAAATGTCTGTATCCACCTTTAACATGATGAATTTGGGGTGACATTGATCTTCTCTATAAAATATGTTAATTAAAATCTTCCAGTAACACAATTTGTCCCTATTAATTAATTAATTAATTTTATTTATTTATTTATTTAAATATAACAAAAATAGTCATTTTAACCTGTTCAACATATTACGTGCACCCCTGTTACCCAAACTCGCTCCCCTTCGTAAAATAACGGAACATTCTGTTTATTATGATAAACAGGAATTTGCGTTGTCTTGCTGTTTTCTGCAGAATGACCATCAGACAGGTCAGTATTCTCATTCTACTTTCTCAGTTTACACACAAAACACTGATTTGGCTGCAAAAAGCTTGAATATTTAACCCTGTTACTAACATTAATGTTAGAAAACAGAATATATATATATACATATATATATATATATATATATATATATATATATATATATATATATATGTAAACTATATGGTTGTTAGTAGTTAGCATGCAGCTCCTTATTCTAGGATAAATTTGCAAACCTGTTTTTCTTGAGTTATTTGTAAAAGAAAATGAAATAAAAGTGAAACAAACATTTTAATGAAAATATTTTGATTAAAATATTTCCAGTTTTTCCTTCTGCTCTATGTTGTGCTCTTTATATGCTTTATACTGCTTTAATATCAGCTTAATCGGGAATAAAATCTCTGTGTTCAACCCTGTTATTTAGTCATTTTTGGTCAAAATAGTCTTAAAACGTTTAATGTGGTTGGTTCTGTTATCAGAAGTGTCAACTTGCTAATGAGAGTCATCAGTTAAAATTATTAATGCAAGAAAAATCGCACTCTATGTTTGTTTAGACAGAAAAAAACTCTAAAGCCTTTGAAGTAATACGTATAAGAAATACAGAAAACACAAGAAAAACAGGGAGTTCATCTCCCTAAAAATTGGTAACATATATATATATATATATATATATATATATATATATATATATATATATATATATATATATATATATATATAACATTAGTTAACATTCATATATATGTGTGTGTGTGTATGTGTGTGTGTGTATGTGTGTGTGTGTATTGTTATATCTCCAAAATAGCAACTTTACAGGAGAAGGAAAAAACCTACTGTACTTTTACTGTAAGTCAATGGAACCAGAAAGTCGTTTTAGGCCGTTTCTTTAAGTCCATTCAACATGAAATTTACAGACAATGTAAAGCGTAACAGGTATTTTCAAATGATGCCAAAAACTGAAAAACGTGCTGAAAAACATACATATATATGTGTGTGTGTGTGTGTATGTATATGAAAATGGTCAGTTTGACCCCAGACTGTTTCAGCTGAATAAAACCTAAGAAATATAAACATTTTATACATTTGTTTTGGATCATATTGAGGTCACTATAATCTTTAAAGCTTCCTTCTGCTTTAGGGCCCTAACTGAACGCAGCCACGCCTGTAGCAGAGCGAGTACCACTGATAGCTCACACCATATGAGGGGAGGGGAGACATCGTTGATACTTAGTGGAGGTTTAATTTGCTGGGGTCAAACTGACCCCAAGGATAAAAGCTGTTAGTAAATCTGAAGACCACAGGAGGATTAGGCCTTGTTCACAGCGGCTGTTTTGCAGGAGGTTCTTCAGTTATTTTTCTTCAATAACATCGACTGAATATATTTTTACAGAAATGTGTGTGATCCACGAAACAAGAGGTCAACTGGACGGTCGTCTTCATAGGTGATTTAGCAAGTTAACATTCATAAAAGTGTTACTGTGTTTGGTCTAACTAAGTCTAATCGCGCAAGGCTGTACGGGATTGTTTGATATGAGTAAATCTGACTCACTTTAGATTCTCTCATTCAGTTTCACATCTTCGTGAGCTGATCTGGGTTGCGCTGGACTGATGAGATCTGGTGTGGGTTGCTGGACGACGTGTGAGCTCCACTCTCTGAGGGACACGCAGAGAGAACTAAAGGGGAAAACTGCACAGCTGGACAGATGTGCAGGCCCCCTGCCTCGGGCCTTCCTGTTTTGCTGGAAAACGCTGCAGGTATGCAGGTGCCATTATTTCTGAATGATGGACACCGAAAGTTCATATAAATATTCTCACTGGTTTAACACAATGCGGGCAGAGGAGGTTTGAATAAAGCCTTTGGTTGAAATCTGCTGAACACGAAGAACAAAGTATTTTATTTGTCTGGAGATGCTGAACCAATTCCGCTGGAAGCTGCGTAACACAGTGCTGAAATACAGCCTCGTAAGCCAGATCACATAGGGTTAAACAACAATGATAGCAACATACTAGAACATGTGAGAAATGCACAACAAACACCTAGCAACCACCTGAAACACCCTAGTAACCACCCAGAATATATGAGATATGCATAAAACCCCCCAGCAACACCCTGGAATACAATAGCAACCACCTAGCAACACCATATCAACCACCAAAAAAAACATAGCAACTACCTAGCAACACCATATCAACCACCAAAAAAAAAACATAGCAACCACCTAGCAACACCATATCAACCACCAAAAAACTATAGCAACTACCTAGCAACACCCTAGCAACAACCTTAGATACAATAGTAACCACCTAGTAACCAACTAGCAACACACTAGTAACCTTCTGAGATACCACAGCAACCAATTACCAGTACCCAAGCAACTACCTGGGATACCTTAGCAACACTTAGCAACACTTTGCAACCACCTAAAATATAGTTACCACCTGGGATACAACAGCAACCATCTGAAATACCATAACAACCACCTAGGCACACCCTAGCAACCACCTAGAACACTGTAGAAACTACTTAGCAATACCCTAGCAACCATTAGAAAAAACATAGCAACCACCCTATCAACCATTAGACACCACAGTACCAACTAATTAAGCTGCAAAACCCATTTTTCTTCAGGAAATCTTGTTTTTGTGATGTCACAAAAATCAACACATTTGCATACAGCAGTTTAGTGGCAGGGGTATGTCAACCTGAACTGCTTTTTGAATGAGATACAAAACAGCCAATCAGAACAGAGCTCATTTACATGTACAAGGCACAGTAACAAAAACAGCCTGTTTGTTTGTAAGGGATAAAAAGAGGTGGACTGACAAGGTAGGAGTGTCTAATAGAGTGGACAGTGAGTGGACACAGTGTTTGAAAACTCCAGCAGCACTGCTGTGTCTGATCCACTCGCACCAGCACAACACACACTAACACACCACCACCACATCAGTGTCACTGCAGTGCTGAGAATGACCCACCACCCAAATAGTACCTGCTCTGTGGGGGTCCTGTGGGCATCCTGACCACTGAAGAACAGGGTAACAAAGTATGCAGAGAAACAGATGGACTCCAGTCTGTGACCGTAGAACTACAGAGTGAAACTATACGGTCAGTGGAGCTGATAAAAAGGACAAACTGTATAGATACTAGGCAGGTGTACCTTTAAGACTGATATATGTAAATGAGCTCTGTTCTGAATGGCTATGATCCATTGTTCCTCATTTAATAAGCAGTCTGTGCTGAAACGCTCCTTATAACATCAGCATGAAAGGGTGGGGCTAAACCCCCTATAAACTTCTATAGGCTGAATATGTAAATGTAAATTGTGACATCATAAAAACAAAGAATTCAAAACTGTTTTTGGAGCCGAGCTTCCATATATGGACTTTACGGACTGGGGAGTGAAAGCGTTTTGAAACTTTTACACTGTTTACATACTACATCAAACTCTAAACCACCTAGCAACCTCCTAAAAACCATTGCAAGCACCTCACAACACCTTAGCAACCACCTTAGACACGATAGTAACTGCCTAGTAACCTAGCAACACAATAGTAACCATAAGAGATACCACAGCAACTGATTACCAGTACCCAAGCAACCACCTGGGCAACAGCAACCGCCTGAAATACCACATCAGCATGAGAGGGTGGGGCTAAACTTCTATAGGCTGAATATGTAAATGTAAATTGTGACATCATAAAAACAATGAATTCAAAACCGTTTTTTGGAGCCGAGTTTCCATATATGGACTTTACAGACTGGGGAGTGAACAGTGTTTTGAAACTTTTACACTGTTTACATACCACATCAAACTTTCATTATAAAAAAGTTAGGAAAACTGAAAACTTTAAATTTGTACTTAGAAACGTCTGTTCCCAAAAAAAAAAAACTACTAAACTGTCCGACCCTTTAGATTCAGGCTCCAGTACTGAAAACCTCAGTCCAGCTCATCTTCTAAACAAGAGCACTGCGGCGGGGCTCTCACTGCTCTGCTAACACGTCTCTCTCTCTCTCTGATGGTTTATTAATGAAAGCTAATGGCCTCTCTCCCTCCCTGCGCTGTATTGATTGCGTTTGCTTTGCTCATATATAATCTGTCAGAAGCTCAACAGGGCATCAGAGCGACTCATCAGTCACAGATCTCTCACCTCGCTTGTAAAAAAAACGCCGGACGGAGTCCGAGATCAAGTTAAAGGGGCCATAATCATGGAAAACCGAATGACCCTCACAGTTTTTAAATGACAGATATGTATGTAAACACTGTTGGTGTTTTCAGATCATTCAGTACCATTCAGTCCATACAGTCCATGGAAGATCATTGCAACCCCATAGCAACATTATAGCAACCACCTGGGATATCACTGCAACCATCTAGCAACACCTTAGCATCCACCTGAAACACTGTAGTAACCACATGGGATAACAGCAACTACCTAGCAACACCCTGGAATGCAATAGCAACCACCTGGGATACCTTAGCAACCACCTGAAACACCATAACAATCACCTAACAACACCCTAGTGACCAGCTGGGACACAACCACCTAGCAACAACCTAGCAAGCACCAGAGAAACCATAGCAACCACCTAGCAGCACCCTAGCAACCACCTTAGATACCATAGTAACCACCTAGTAATCACCTAGCAACACCCTAGTAACCATCAGAGATACCATAGCAACCAATTACCAGTACCCAAGCAACCACCTGAGGGATACCTTAGCAACACTTTAGCCACCACCTAAAATATAGTAACCACCTGGGATACAACAGCAACCTCCTAAAATACCATAGCAACTACTTAGTAACACCATAGCAACCACCAGAAAAACCAGAGTAACCACCTAGCAACACCCTAGTAACCATCAGAGATACCATAGCAACTGATTACCCGTACCCAAGCAACCATCTGGGGATACCTTAGCAACACTTTAGCAACCATCTGAAATACCATAGTAACCACCTGAAATACAATAACCACAACCTAGCCACACCCTAGCAACCACCTTAGGTACCATAGTAACCACCTAGTAACCACCTAGCAACACCCTAGTAACCATCAGAGATACGATAGCAACCGATTGCCAGTACCCAAGCAACCATCTGGGGATACCTTAGCAACACTTTTGCAACCATCTGAAATACCATAGTAACCACCTGAAATACCATAACAACCACCTAGGCACACCCTAGGAACCACCTAGAACACCATAGAAACCACCTAGCAACACCCTATCAACCACCAGAAAAACCAAAGCAACCAACTAGCAACACCCTAACAACCACGTTAGATACGACAGCAATCACTTATTAACACCCTAGTAACCATTAGAGATACCATAACAACTGATTACCAATACTCAAAGAAACACCTGGGATAGCTTTAGCAACACTTTAGCAACCACCTAAAATATATGAACTACCTGGGATACAACAGCAACCACCTGAAATACCATAACAACCACCTAGTCACACCCTAGCAACCACCTAGCAATACCCTAGCAAAACCATAAAAAAACATAACAACCACCTTAGATAGGATAGCAACCACCTAGCAGCACTTTAGCAACCATCAAAGATACCATAGCAACTGATTACCAGTAGTCAATCAACAACCTGGGATACCTTAGCAGCACAACAGCAACCACCTGAAATGCCATAACAACAACCTAGTCACACCCTAGCAACCACCTAAGGTAGGAAAGTAACCACCAAGCAACACCTTAGCAACCATCAAAGATACCATAGCAACTGATTACCTGTACCCAAATCAACAACGTGGGATACCTTAGCAACACTTTAGCAACCACCTAAAATACCATAGCAACAATCTTCAGAAAACTCACTTTTCCAGCTGTTTTTGTGATGTCACAAAACATTTGCATATATCCACCTATTCAGCCTACAGGAGCTTAGTCACAATCATTCAAGCTGATGTATAAGGAGTGTGAACTGCCTTTTAAATGAGATACAAGACAGCCAGTTAAAACTGAGCTCATTTACATATTTCAGTCTTAAAGGCACAGTAACAAACACAGCCTGTTTAGCTGTGAGGGATGAAGAGAGGCTGATGGTCACTTAGAAATGAATTATGACTGTTTTTGGTACGTAAAACCACACAAACGTCACATGTGAACCTCAGGGGAGAGAATTCTTCAGAGAAACGCAGGATATGGGCCCTTTAAAGGGAACGTTTGGCAAAAATTCTAATATACAAAATTTGACCCTCGCCTCAAATAAAGAAGACGATTCTAAGAAGATTCTGAGAAGTACATACCTCCAACCAGGCATAACATATGACCACCTCCTCGTTTCTACGCTCACTGTCCATTTTATCAGCTCCACTTACTATATAGGTGCACTTTGTAGTTCTACAGTTACAGACTGTGGTCCATCTGTTTCTCTGATACTTTGTTAGCCCCCTTTTACCCTGTTCTTCAGTGGTCAGGACCCCCATGGACCGTCACAGAGCAGGTACTATTTGGGTGGTGGATCATTCTCAGCACTGCAGTAACACTGACGTGGTGGTGGTGTGTTAGTGTGTGTTGCGCTGGTCTGAGTGGATCAGACACAGCAGTGCTGCTGAAGTTTTTAAACACCTCAGTGTCACTGCTGGACTGAGAATAGTCCACCAACCAAAAATATCCAGCCAACAGCGTCCTGTGGGCAGCGTCCTGTGACCACTGATGAAGGACTAGAGGATGACCAACACAAACTGTGCAGCAGCAGATGAGCTATCGTCTCTGACTTTACATCTACAAGGTGGACTGACAAGGTAGGAGTGTCTAATAGAGTGGACAGTGAGTGGACACAGTGTTTGAAAACTACAGCAGCACTGCTGTGTCTGATCCACTCGTACCAGCACAACACATACTAACACAACACCACCACGTCAGTGTTATCTATTATATATATATATATATATATATATATATATATATATATATATATATATATATATTATCATTTTTCAGTTTGTAACATAATTTAAAAATATCTGTTGATCTTTACATGGTGTGTAAATTTTATGATGAATGAACCAAAATAAATGGCTCAGAATGACTTGGAAATAAGTCTGGTTCCATATATATATATAAGTATATATATAAGTTTGGAATCAATGTTTGTAATAAAATAAAAGCACTTTAAGTCCAGAAAAATGTACAAAGTATTCTGTTAGTCCTGTGCAACTTCAGCGTCAGAATAATGAATGGAGCCGCAGATGATTCTAAAAAATGGATTACATCAAGAATAAAACTGTAATCACTTCAATTTCCGGAATGATTTGTTTTCCCAAAAGTTATCAAATCTCAAAATTAAGCAGAAAATTACAGAATGATTTATCATTTAATAACTTCTTCTTAATCCCAAAATACTTTAAATACTAAACAACTTCCTATTATCTAGCTTACAACATTTAAATCTATATTACATTATTATTGCATATGAAATAAGTTATTGATATGACAAGTAATTCCAAACTTCAATGGTAGTATATTATACAGTACTGTGCAAAACTTATGTACCTACAAAAATGAAAGACTATTTATCTTGGCAGTGTGTTTGTGGATGTAAAATATGATATAAATACAAATAAACAGTAAAAAAGTGAAATGAATGTTTTCTTTTTACACCTGATTTAACTGAAGGATTAGCTATTAGATGGTAACCGTAACACTGAGCTTTCTCAGTGAGAGCAAATGGTTAAATGAACACAATGACACACACAGAATCACAATAAATTACATATTTGTTTATTTGTGCTTATGGTTTCAAGCAAATAAACACATACTGCCCAGGAAACAGCTTTACATATTTTCTTTCATCGAAAAAAAAAAAATAACGTTGCTTAAATTGATTAGTATAATAGAATGAAACATTAAAGGGCCCATATCCTACATTTTTCTTGCATCTTATATTTCAACCCTGAAGTCCAGTTATGAAGTTATGCACCCAAAATAGTCATAATTCATTTTTTATATGACCATATTCAACCTTTTTCTTCCTTTTAATTAAACAGGCTTTTTTTTTTGTTACTGTCCCTTTAAGACATATATGTAAATGAGCTCTGTTCTGATTGGCTGCCCTGTATAGTGCCTCATTCACAAAGTCATCCACGCTAGAACATTCCTTGAATCTTATATGTGAAGGGGCGGGGCTAAACTGCTGTAGTCTGACCTATTGGATACATGTAAAGGTGTTGTTTTTTTGTGACATCACAAAAACAATGAATTCAAAACTGCAGGTTGCAGTTAAGGCTGCAGCTTAGTTCCTACATGTGGACTCTACAGACTGAGGAATGAACAGTATGTTTTGAAACATTAACAATGTTTATATGTTAACATAAAGGGAACTGAGTTTTCTATGATATGGGCCCTTTAAAGTCCTGACCGTGCTGGACTGGCCCTTTAATAAGGCTACTGTGGTTATGGCACCGTTTTAAATTAGCCCACAGCATTCAGGGCTGCTGTGTCCAGTGTGGCTTTGAGTTACTGTTGGTCAGCGTGTTGGGAACAGAGGAGGGATGGGTATGGAACAGTCTGTGGGGGGAGGGGGGGCTGGTGGGATTAACTCTGCTCGTCCTCCTGTCTGAGGCGTTTCCTCAGGTGTTCTCCAATCGCAGCGAGGGGGTTGGCCTTAAAGGTGGGGTCCTTCATCGCCTCGCTGAAATGGGACGCTTCCGTCTCCCTGAGATCAAAGCACAAAGCAAACTTAAACATCCCACAGCTAAAACAGTGGTGTCAGTGTGTCGTACAGTCTCTGAAACCACAGGATCAAAGTCTATTACAGATAGATAAACATGGTCTGAGGTGAGTGTGTGATGATCTGTGCATGACGCTAATTGGTGGGCATAAGCTCCCATTACGTGATAGCTACATGAGTCTTGTAGCTCTAGTGTAAAACTGAAGAAGCAAACTTTTTGAGGGGGTGGGCTGTGCATGGGGGGGCGGGGGTGGTTAAACAGTGTATATTAGATTTTTAACCAAATTATGGCTTTAAATGTAAACGTTCTGATTGGCTCTTACAGCAGTTTTCTCTTCTGCGCAGGCTTCATCTGGTAGTAGTCTGTGGGCTCTGCTTTCTTCCTGACCGGACTGTGAGAGAGAGAGAGAGAGAGAGAGAGAGAGAGAGAGATAAAAAATAATAAAGTCAGTGGATCCAAGGAACAAACACTTTTTCAAACACAAGTGAGTTTATAGTGTTAAATGCACTTTATCAGAGAGAGAGAGAGAGAGAGAGAGAGAGAGAGAGAGAGAGAGAGAGAGAGAGAGAGAGGGAGGATGATAATGGTAGTACAAAAAAAGAAAGAAAAAATTAAACAGATGAAAGAAAAAGAAGAAAGAAATAGAAAAGTGAGAAAGAAAAAAAAGAATGAACAAAAGACAAAAAATAGTAAGGAACAAAAGAAAAAGGAAAAACTGAAATATGAAACAAAGGAAAAATAAAAGAAAGAAAAAAGAAAGAAGTCAAAGCAAGGAATGAATGAAAGGAAAAGAAAGAGCAAGAAAGAAAAAAGAAAAAAGAGAAAAAGAATGATAAATATAAAAAAAAAAAAATATATATGAAACAGCAAAAAAGGAAAAAAGTAAAGAATATGAAACAGCAAAGAAAGAAAGAAAGAAAGAACAAGAAAGTAAAAGAAAACGGACAGAATGAAAGGAAAAGATGGCAAGAAAGAAAGAAAGGAAAGAAAAGACTGAATGAAGAGTAAGAAAGAGGAGAAAAATGATCTGAAAGAGAAAAAGAAATGGAAGAGTAAGAAAAAGAGAAGAAAAAGAAAAAAGAAAATGAAAGAAATGAATATGAAATAAAAAGAAAGAAAAAAGAGAAACAGTAAGACAGAAATAATAAGACAGAATGAAGAAAAGGGAGAGAGAGAGAGAGAGAGAGAGAGAGAGAGAGAGAGAGAGAGAGGTGTAGTTACTGTACCCTTTGTGTCTCCTCTGTGCTGATGCAGTAGCGCTCTCTCTGACCGAGGGCAGCAGCTGGGTCAGTTCAGGCAGAGCGTCGGCCAGCACCCTCATATCCCCCACCACCGGCGTGGCCTTCCTGCGCTCCAGCGCCACCTGCTGCTCACGGGCCACTTTAATTGCACTGATCTCTGCGCGCACACACACACACACACACACACACACACACACACAGACATGCATTAGGACACTTTTCAACTCGGACAGTCGGAAAACTGTCATCTCACCAAACCTCAAGTTATTTGCGTCCAGGTGGTCATCAGGTAAAGTTTAACGAGGTCTCAGAACAAACAAGCTGCCACGCTATTAATGGAATAATCTCTGCCTAATGGACCACTGAGTGCTCTGATGAAGAAAGAACCCGGTTCCGTTTAAACTGAGACCCTAACAGGCTAAACAACTCCTGCATTAACATCACAGGCTTTGAGTTACAGCACTTTCTATATGAATCACAGCAAAACTGCAACATAAAGACTGAATCCTGAACGGCTCTTTGTTATTTTGTTTCAGTGCAGAAAAGCTTAGTGCTAATGTAAGAATGGGAATTAAAAGCTACTTACAGAGCCCATGTTTTCATATTAAACACCACCATGAGGACAATAATGATATGTTCATTATTATATGACAAAGGCCACGAAATGCCTGCAGTGTCCAACAAGCAACTGAACGCTCTTATCTTCCTTCAGGAGTCGATAACCGGCGACAATAACACTACATTTCTTTTCGGAATAATTATTTATCATGATTAAAAATAAAATACTTATTGAGAAATTATGCATTTTATTATATTACATCTATACATACTGCATATTGTACTGCCACTTGTTCATACACTGATGCTTATTGGACAACTGTTAACAAATGTTATCCTTTACAGTGTTTAGTCACTTGGTTCATTCACTGAATGTGACATGCAACACTGAACTGTCACCTGTATAATATTTATGAAATTTTACTTATTTTTGTACTGCACAATATACTCTATGGTTATTTTAACATTTATTTTATTATATATCTTTACTTTCTATTTATGCATCTGTATAATAGCGCACAGCAATATTTTTGCTCTTGACCATATTTGTGCTGCTGTAACCAACCAACCAACCTACCTACCTACCAACCAACCAACCTACCAACCAACCTACCTACCGACAAACTATTCACCTACCAACCAACCTACCTACCTACCAACAAACCAACCTACCTACATATCAACCAACCAATCACCTACCAACCAACCTACCTACCTATTAATCAAATCAACCAACCAACCTTCTTACCTACCGACCAACAAGCCAATCAACCTACCTACCAATCAACCAATCACCTACCAACCAAACAACAAATCACCTACCTACCAACCAACCAACCTACCCATCAACCAACCTACTTACGACCAAACCAATCACCTACCTACCTACCAACAAACCAACCAACCTACATATCAACCAACCAACCAATCACCTACCAGCCAACCAACCTACCCACCCACCAACCAACCCACCTATATTTGATGTCTGCCGTTTCACCAAGGCGATAAGCCACCTGGGGCCGTACGTTACAGTTATTTTATCCCATGTAAGGATAGTTTCACTCGTGATAAAATCACTGTAACGCACAACCTCTCGTAGTTTACTGCTTTACATCAGAACTCCAAAATAACACCAAATACGGTCACAGGGCTTCACTTCTCAGAACAGTGGTCTCCTAATGACTCACAGCCTGCAGACAGATTTATTAAGAGTGGTCACAGAGGGACTGGGTGTTTGCTAATAGCCCTTCTGATTCATTAGTAAATGCCCCACGAATGGAATGGAGGAAACAGGATTTGGTTGTTGGTTTGACTGGAAAAAAAATTTGGCCCAATACCTGGTCAAGAAAACAAAGCCTACAAAAGTACATATGACCGAAATATAATGAATGCAGGGCAACAAGCTAAGAGAAATAATACTGTAGAAGTGTAGCCAATTAGTTTCTACACTAAAGCACACTGACTGGGTGTTGTGCATTATTTAAGGCCAACATACAAACACACACACGGCAAAACAGTCAACACTCAAAAGGCCCAAATCTAACATTTCTGCCTTTTATTTTTTTCCCCTCATAACATCTGTGTGGTTTTATATACCAAAAATAGTCATAATTTCTACACGACCACTTTCAACCTCTATTTACCCCTCAGAACTAAACAGTCTGGTTGTTACTGTGCCTTTAAGATTGATACATGCAAATGAGCTCTGCTTTGATTAGCTGACCTGTACTGTGCCTCATTTGAAAAGCTCTCAAAGCTGAAATGCTCCTTAGAACTTTAATATGAGTGGGCGGGGCTAAACCGCTGTAGGCTGAATAGGTGAATATATGTAAATGAGTTGTGACATCACAGAAACAGTGAGTTCAAAATGAGCTGTTTTCTGCAGCTTAGTTTCCATATATGGACTGTATAGACTATATGGAGTAGGTTGTGGATGGTATGATATGATATTATAAGCTATTTTCTATTCTGATTGGCTGAAATAGGTTTTTATTTGCAAATATTTATTATTTTAGGCTGTTTAATATGGGATACCACACAAGGTAGCGCTTGAACTGGCCTTCATGTCGGCCTACTGATGATTTTAGATTCATTTATGCGAGCTGCATGTTCTGTGGTGTCGCTTGGCCCCCTGATTGGCCCCCTGATTGGCCCCCTGATGATGGTGTTATTCTCATCCAGCCTTTAATGCAAACATTTTTGCTGAATATTAACATCAGGAGCCTCCAACCGGAATCTTACTTGTTTTTCCGGAAAACTGAATCATTCCCGGATACACACACACTGACCGGCACCAAACTTTCCTGGTGGAGCGCTGTGTCCGTCATCTCGGGCCGTACTCAAACTAACAGCGGACACGCAGAGGTCAGCTTGCTCCTCCCCGCTGACGCGTCCACTGACCATGACAGCGAAATCGATCGATACATTTCGCCCCCTTTTTTAATAGCTGCCTGTCCTCCAGCGCTGCTGCGTCGGGTTGCAGAGAGTCAAAATCTCCATTAAGCCCTAATTATAATCAGCCTGCTGGGCTAGTGTTACGCAGCGCATTGATTGGCTCAGCAGATTCAGTTTCCAATGAGCGCAGTTACGGGTAACGGAGGACGCTGCGGCGCTAGGAAGCCTGCAGACGAGACGACACCGAGTCGCACAAGGGGGCCAAGCACCGCCGCAGAACAGCGGAGTCCAATACAGAGGCAAGAAGAAAATAACTGCAATAAATCTCATAACATAAATAATTAAACAGAGATAATAGCACTCAGAGTTACACATCTGCAAAAACGCAATTATAAAAACAAAAGGGACTAAACTGGACAAATGTAGTCTGCAGATATCAGACAGAGATTATTTTTCAAAATGTGATCTGCAGGTTTTAAAGACACAATTATTATTATTATTATTTTTTTTTTTTTGCACGTAGAGAAGATTATTTTAAGCCATTTCAAACAGACAAACCAAAGCAGCATGGAAGAGTTTCTAAAGGTTGTCCTGTATACAATATACAATAGTAAATTAAAAAAATAAATAAAAAAAAAGTGAAATTTATCAAGCATTTTAAAAGAAGCAAATTATATTTAAAAAAAAAAGTAGGTAGGTTTCAAATAGTGTTCTTCAAAAATGTCTTTCAGAAGATTACACTATAATTTGTTACTAAAATAGATCTAACACACATTCATAAATGCACACATAAATACATACATACATATACATATATATATATATACACATACATACATATATATATTCGTAAGTAAAAGTTTAGGCACCACTGGTCGAATTCCATGTTTCTAAGTGGAAATAAGTGAACACTTTATGCATATTTAACAATTTAACATATTGGAGGAAAGTAAAACACAACATGGCCTGTTCAAATGTTATGGTACATTTTATGTTTTACATTACTCTTCCTTCTCTTTTTCTTCAATATGTTATATATACACATATATATATATATATAGATAGCTAGATAAATAGATAGATAGATAGATATAAAACCTTGTACCTCCAAAATGGTAACTTTACAGGAGAAGGAAAAAACATACTTTACTTTTAATGTAAGTCAATGGAACCAGAGTTTTTCCATGTCATTTTAGGTCATTTCTTTTAGTCCATTCATTATGAAATTTACAGACAATGCAAAGGGCAACATGTATTATGTCAAAAACTGAAAAACATCAAAAATGGAGATACGAGGTTTTCTTCTGATAACAGAGACATATAGAGCATAGAGATGGGACAGTGATAGAGAGTGATAACGTTGCTAAATATGGGCTGATGAGTATGAGCGCCAGGGAAAAAGCTTTCAGAGCATGAAAAAAGGCCACGAGCATAAAAAAAACAGCCTCTCTTATTTAAGCCTCACAGTGTAGTAATAAACACTAAAGTCTAAATCTCATAATTCCACTCCTATGGAAGGTGATTCATATGTAATATACAGTAACATCAAAGCGGAGATTGTGGAATCTCTTAATCACAGCTTTACTGAAGTGATCAGAATAACATTCCCAGCTTAGTTAAATCTGAGGAATCAGGATCAGAGTGTGATGTATTTAATATTTACAATTTTAAACGTTATTTCCTTCGATAATACTGAGATACAAAACAAAGCAAAAGAAAGAAAAGGGAAAAAAACAGAACACGATGACTCACTGTTCAGCCATCGCTGTCTCCTCTCCTTCATCTTCTCCTTCTTCGACTGCTGTTTCTTCTCTTCTCTACCTGCATGAATGAGAAACCATAAATATTAACGCACCCCGTCCAGCTCCGGCTACTCAGTCTGGGTTTCTGAATTGAGCTTTAATGGGAGAGCATTAAAAGCTTTTAATGGAATTTAACATTTAATGGAAATGTAGCAGCAAAGTACATTTCACGTTTCTGAGGGACCTGCAAAATTAAACAATCTGTAACATTTAACCCCAAATCCATTTTCATTAAACACGAACGTATTTCTCTCCAACTGTAATATTAAGCACTCAATTTTATTTTTATTTTATTTCTCATTATTATGCAACACTGCCTGTCACTAATATTAAACACTACAGCGTTTTATTAAAATTAAACACTAATTTCTGACAGTTGTATTAAACACTATTACACTTAGTAGAAATAATAAACTGCTGTATTTCACTGCTCACTGGCATTTTAATCACATCTGAATACTGTCATTTTTATTGGTTAAGTCCTGAAATATCATCACAAATGTTCATCTTTCAGCATTATATATATTTATAGAGCTTATTTACTCCAAGAATAAGTGACTAATGTCAAACTAAAGCTCAAAATCACAATAACATCTGTAAATAATCTGTAAAAATATTTTACAGAATTATTCCGTCTCAAACCAAAACCAATCTGAATAAACAAATTAGAAAAAAATATCAAACTTGAAAAAAAGACATTTGAATAAACTTAAATATGAACAATCCAAATTTGAATAACCTCAAACTAAACAAATTGAATTTGACCAAGACTCAAACTGAACAATCTGAACTGGAATAAACTTCATTCAAATTCAAACAATCTGAATGATTTTTGATTACAAAAGTTATTTTGAACCCAATTTCAACAACCTTAATTTGAATAAACAAACTAACCAAGCTGAATTTGAGCTTGATTTGAATGAACTAAATTTGGGCTCAATTTGAACAATCTGAACTTGAACAAACTCAATTTGAACAACTGGAAATTGAATAAACACAAATTGAATAATGTAAACTTGAATACAAAAACCGAACAATTTCAATAAACTCAATTTGAACAATTTGAATAAAATCAATATGAACAAAGTGAACTTAAATAAAATCAAACTGAACAACATGAATTAGCATAAACTCAAATTCAAAAATCTGAACTTTAATAACCTCAATTTGAGCAAACTGGAGAAAAGAAGTAAATACACGAATATGAACATTAAGAAGAAAAAAAATATTTGAATAAAAAATTTTAAAAAATACATTTGAATAAACTCAGTTTTGAATTTGAACAATCCAAATTATAATGAACTCAATCTGAAGAAGCTGAATTTTAACTCATTTTGAACAATCTGAACTTCAATGATTTCAATTTGATTCAAAAAGTTTAATTTGAGCTCGATTTGAACAATCTGAATTTAAAATTTGAATAAACACAAACTAAAGCTAAATTCGAGCTCAAATAGAATAAGCTAAATTTGAACTTGAAAAAAACACAATTTGAATAAAGTCAATTTGCACAATTTGAATAAACTCAATTTTAAAACTCAAACTGAGTCAGCAAATCTGAATTAACATAAACTCAAATTCAACAATCTAATTTAACAGCCTATGAACAAACTGGAGAAAATAAGTAAATACATGAATACGTACATTAAAGAAAAAATAACCCAATTCAAATAAACAAACACATTTGAATAAACTCAGTTTTGAATTTGAACAATCTAAATTATAATGAACTCAATTACAAGAAGCTGAATTTGAACTCAATCTGAATTTCAATAAGTTTAATTAGATTTTAAAAGTTTAATTTAAACTCAATCTGAAATTGAATAAACTCAAACTAAACAAGCTGAATAAACTCAATGTGAACAATCTGAATTAGCATAAACTCAAACTGAATATGAATACATCTACACAGAATCCAAGACATCACAAGTCAAGGTTCCCAACAATTAGATAAAACCACTGCAGTATGATGTCCATTTTTTCCGTGCGGTCATTCAGTGAAAACAGTACAGTGTCACTGAGGGGAAACGGAGTATCAGGCCCTGCTGATACAGGGACACATGTGAGGAGAGTGGAGGAGATAGCCTGTTAGCGGCTAGCTGTGTGCGCAGCGATTAGCGCAGCCTGTTATTGTAGCTGTGTGTAGCTTCCTGCTCCCGGATGGAGCCGCGCTATCAGCCAGAACAGCCCGCCAGTCTGCCACAACACTAACAGCGCCACGGCACAGGATGTGGACGTGTGTGTGAGGTGGGGGGTAAAGTTGATATGAATATTGTTATTACATTAGTGGGTCTAATGTAAACCACATGCTCGTTCCATATGTGTAATTTTGAGGCTGTGTGTGATATGAGTGCGTTCACTCGTCTATATGGAACCCCCAGTGTGATGCAGTGTTTAAGAGATTAAGTAGTTCCCACGAGTGCCCCGAGAGTGGACGCCTTGATGTCCAATCAAAGAAGAGGCCCAGCACTCGGATAAAGATGACGTTAAGGAAAACACACACACAAACAATAGGGCACAAGATCCCAGAACGCATGAGAAAAACAGTCTCGGATAAAAACAAGGTCAAGTCCACTGCAGGGCCCAAAGAGAACACACACTATATGGACAAAAGTATTGGGACACCTCCACATTATACCTACAGGAGCTTTTATGAATCCCATTCTAAATCCATAGGCATTAATATGGAGTTGGTCCCCCTTTGCAGCTCTAACAGCTTCTACTCTTCTGGGAAGCTTCTACAAGATGTTGGAGAGAGTCTGTGGGAATTTTTGTCCATTCATCCAGAAGAGCATTTGTGAGGTCAGACACTGATGTTGGACGAGAGGGTCTGGCTCACAATCTCCATTATAGTTCATCCCAAAGGTGTTTGATGGGGTTGAGGTCAGGGCTCTGTGAGGGCCAGTCAAGTTCTTCCACACCAAACTCACCCAGTCAGGCCTTTATGGAGCTGCTTTGTGCACTGGGGCTCAGTCATGCTGGAACAGGACGGGGCCGTCCCCAAACTGTTCACACAACGTTGGAAACACAGGGTCAAATTGTCTTGATCTGCTGAAGCATTAAGATTTCCCTTCACTGGAACTAAGGGTTCTAGACAAACCCCTGAAGAACAGCCCCATATCATCATCCCTCCTCCACCAAACTTTACAGCTGGCACAGTGCAGTCAGGCAGGTAACGTTCTCCTGGCATTCGCCAAACCCAGACTCGTCCATCAGACTGACTGATAGAGAAGCTGATTCGTCACTCCACAGGATTCGTTTCCACTGAGTCCAGTGGCGGCGCTTTACTCCACTCCAGCTGACGCTTGGCATTGTGCTTGGTGATGTAAGCCTTGCATCCAGCTGCTGGCCATGGAAACCCTGCCATGAAGCTCCTGGTGCAGTATTTGTGCTGATGTTGATGCCAGAGGAGGTTCGAACTCTGCAGTTATTGATCAGCAGAGCGTTGGTGTCTTTTATGCTCCTCAGCACTCAGCGACCCGCTCTGTAACTTTACATGGTCTGACACTTCATGGTCTGAGTTGCTGTGGTTCCTAAACACTTCCACTTTTTAATAATGCCACTCACAGTTGATTGTGGAAAATCTAGGAGGGAAAAAATTTGCGAACTCACTTGTTGCACCAGTGGCATCTTATTACAGCACCACACTCGAATTCAGGAGGCTCTTTAGAATGACCCACTCTTTCACTAATGTGTGTAAAGGCAGACTGCATGGCTAGGTGCTTGATTTTATACACCTGTTGCAATGGGACCGAATGAAACACTTGAATTCAACTATTAAGAGGTGTGTCCCAATACATTGTCCATATACTGTACTTTAAAGTTGGCTTGACCTTAAAAATACTTGAAGTTACCAGCTATAAACAGCTGTTGATTATATAGTTGATTATATAGTTGATAATCGTTTTGATAAATTTGGTGTATAAAGTACATTAGTAGCACCCTGGCAAACACACAGCAACCACTGAGTAATACCCTGGAAACCACCTGGAATACTAAAAATACTGCTTAGCAAAGCCCTGGAAACAACTTAGAACATTAAAACAACCACGCAGCAACTGGACATCACAGCAACCACGAGGCAACACCCTATCAACCTCCTGGAATACTACAGCAAGAACCCAAGATAACAAGGAAGACCTTGGCAACCACCTGGGAGTCGGAAAAGCAAGTTTATCATGTTTATTTATGTCTTACAACTAAAAAATGTTTTTGTTTAATGATTTAGGCAATTATACAACAGTTAGTTCCAGCCATGCAAGCCGATTGGTTGAGAAGCATTCTAACTGTGCTGTTATTTCGCCATAACATCACGTTTTTTTTCACAAACTCTATCACTCTGCTGAGATGCCGTTGCTAGGCAACAACTTTGACAGCTGTAGGAGATGCTCAAGCCATTTGAATGTTTTTACTTTTTACCCAACACCATTCGCCAAACTAAATGGGCTGTAAGATGCTTTACAGACTGGCTGGAACAAAACAACATTAATACTGATCTGGCAGAAAAAGACAAAACTGAGCTAAACTTGATATTGTGGCAGTTTTATGGCTCAGTCTGATTTGGTCAGACTCTGAAGATCAAACTACACGTTTGGCGAATGGTATTGGGTTCATTTCTGGCTGATTCCAGGTTGTTTAGCTGTTCTTCTGTCACAGCTGCCGACTGAAAAGCTGCTCAGTGGTGATGACAGTTTGGGAATTTAGTGTAAGGAGCTGGAGAACAAACTGCCGGCTGTGCAGCGAGTGGGCGGAGCTCGTTACTCTGACGTAGCAACAAGCTGCTTGTTAAGGAACTATAATTAACTGCCAACATTAAAACATATTAAACGCCGCGTTCACGGCCCAGTTTATTAATTTATTACTTTATTTATTTAACTGTTGTATTAAAGCAGTAGAACGCTCGAGGAGTGTGTTATCGCCAATAACATCATGGCTGTGATGATCTACGGCGACCAAATCACAGCCGTGATGTTATTTTGTGATAACGCACTCCCTCTCGGGTTCTACTGCTTAAGTATA